GTGTGTTGTGAAGTTTTCGGTGAACTAGAAAACCAATTGTGAGGAGTGATGTTGATCGGTGAGCATTGAAAACCGATACTGTGAGGTGTAAACGTTATTCGGGTGAGCGTAGAAAACCCGATCGTGATAGTGGATTTCTCCCCGGGAGTGGGGAGCGGAGACGTAGGACGGAAGGTCCGAACTCCGTGATCATATTGTGTGTTTGAATGTGCTTTGGCATTTATTCTTATTTGTGCTCATTGCTCATTTCGCTATTGTCTCATTATTTATATGATCCACTATCTAGTTCATATTGTTTACCATTTGTGTTAGTTTTCATATCCTTGCATATATCATATTGTATATCTCTTTGGTAGGATATATCATCTTGTGTTAGTTTATATATCCTTGCATATATATTTCATCATATAGGATATATCTTATTGTTCATATTGCTTATCCTAGCTTATATAGTTGTTATATTTCATACTTGCTAGGATAACTTATTAATTAGTTTTTTAATTGGCAAAAAATCGGATTAGATTAGCATAATACCCTAATCACCCCCCTCTAGGGTCTAACAGATGCCACTTACACGTCTTATGAAGAAGAGTGTACCGTTTGTTTGGGGCACTGAGTGCTAGGAAGGCTTTAAGACTTTAAAGGCTAAATTGACTATAATGTCGGTATTAATCATCCCGAGAAGTGATAAGACATTGGTAATTTACATAGATGTGTCGTTTTTGGGTCTAGAAGGTGTATTGATGTAGACCAAGTGGGTAGTAGCGTACATTTCATGAAAGGTGAGGATGCCTGAGCAAAACTATCCCACACACGACTTGGAGTTAGTAGCAATAATCTTCGTAATAAAGACATGGAGACACTATCTGTATAGAGTACAGTTCGAGGTTTACACGGATTATCAGAGTTTGAAGTACCTCTTCTCTTAGAAAGAGGTAAATCAGAGAAAGTGACGATGGATTGAGTTTATCAAGGATTATGAGTTTGCGATTCAGTGCTATCTAAGGAAGGAAAATGTGGTAGCGGACACGTTGAGCAAGAAACATCGATGTCGGATTTTAGCTTTAAGGTGCTCGTTGTATCGAGATCTTCACACCCTTAGTCAGTTTGACTTTAGACCAGAGATCAGTAGGAGCAGTGCATTTTTAGAAGCTTTGTCAGTACAACTACCTTGGAGTGATAGAGTGGTCAGAGCTCAGCTAGAGGACTCTTGGATTCAAACCCGAAAGTAGAAGATTTTCAAAGAGCCAAAGGCTGATTGGACCGTTAGAGTAGATGGAGGTCTTTGAATGAAGGTGTAAATCCCTGTATAATTAAATAAATGAGTTTTTATTATGAAATATATGTTTAGATCATAGAGGAGTATGATAACAAGTGTTTTGGGATTAAATAAGTATGATTATGTGAGAGAAATCAAGTGGAAAAGACCAGCATACGATAGGTTCATGCACAACAGATTTCTACTGTGCGGTCGATCGCGCGTGGCGCGAAGGTCGACCGCACAGTGGCCAGACTGTTTTTCCCAGTCCGAGTTGTTTTGGGTTTTAGGTCGGGTTTGAAAGCTTATATATATTAAATAATTCGGGGGAGCCTCCTCTTCATCACAGAAAACCCTAGCTTGTTCTTTGGGCGATTCTTGAAGGATTTTAAAGAGTTCGAGCAAGATCTTGCGGTGTTCAGTTAAGGAGAACCCCCTCACGACCTTACCCACACTTGTTCATCACCCTCAGGCGAGTTTCATCTCGTCCAACCCTGTACCTAGTTTTAAATGCTTTTAAATGATGTTTTTCACGGGTTTTTGTTAAGCCTAACATGCTAGTTTGAGTATAAAAGTTGATCTTTATATTGTATGTTGCAAAAAAAATGTTTTCAGATAAATAAAGATCACCCATGTTTTCCAACGTGCATATTTTGAACTGGTGTTTAGTATAACAAGAATTTTGAAAGAAAAACAATTGTTTTTGAAGGTTTCGTCATACATATGCATGTTTTAAATTGTTTCTTTTTGTCTATAGTGATTAGACTGTTTATACCATATTCCATATATGTTAAATCACAAGCATAGGGTTGATAGTACATATAAACATCATACGAAGATCGAGATTGATATCAGTTAGAACCAAAACTTTAAAATAGGATTTTTCTGCTTCACGGTCGATAGCGGGTGGCGCGGCGGTCGACTGCGTATCGTGCACAAATCGGTTTTTAGTTTCTGTCTTGATCGTGGTCGACCGCGCTGGGCAAGGCGGTCGACTATCGATCGCGGTCGATCGTGCATGGCGCGGCGGTCGACCGCTAGGGAACACAAAAACACAGTGAGTTTTTGTTCTTGGTGCGGTCTACCGCGCTAGGCGCGACGATCGACCGCGAGTTAGTTTTTTGCCCTGTTTTATTTTGTGCATATGTCGTGTGGCTGGCTAGTTGCTAGTTTTCTGGATTATTTGGGATTGTTAAGCACAGAGAATTGTGTTCACTAGTTGACTACAGACAGGAGGCTTTGTTTTTTTTCACCGAGACATGAGAGTGAATAATACATAGATGTTTTTAAATTGAAATCCATTGTAGTCCATGTGTTGGACGCCTATCTATTGCGGCCTATGTGTTGGACTTCGATCATATAGTCCATGTGTAGGACATTTGCTTATTTCATTCCATGTGTTGGACATGTAGCTTTGCGGGCCTTGTGTTGGACCTACATCATTTATAGTCCATGTGTTAGACATATCTCATGTGTAGTCCATGTGTTTGGCTTTATCATATTACAATCTATGTGTTGGACATTGGTTACGTACAGTCCATATGTTGGACATTCAGTGAATTTTGCCTTTTCTAACATATGGTAGAGGAAGTTCAAGAATTGAACAAGTATTCTGATATCTGATAGAATATTTTTGGGATAGTTCGAAATGGAGATTTTTCTTCAAGTTATAGTTGGATTTGATAGTTAACTATTTACATTATGAGCTTATGGGATGGTTGAGATTTCCACGCACATGTTGTAAATTCCTAAATATCAAACTACCATTTTTATTTCGGATTTGATGTTCTGACTATCTAGATGTATTATCAGTATTTTTCTATCCAACTAGCCCTTCCCTTGGGGTTGGTTGAGATGTCACTCACTATAGCGCTTTGACGCTCGTTGTTTTCTCCACTTTCAGGTAACGAGCTAGGTGCACGAAGAGCCGTAGCTTGATGGATTTGCTCTAGTTACTACTTATAGATATTTTATTAGCAATTATGTTTAGGACTCCACGACGACTCGGTTTATGAACATTGAGATGTTATTTCTAGTTTTGTAAAGGCAAGGTGCCTTATTGTCATGTCCTTTGTTCTATGTCGAGACTGTTGTACTCAGTTTAGATATTGTTCCTTTTTCTGAGATTCTTTTGATTTATATTAGTGGTGGTTAATTTTTTTGAATATTATTTGTTTAATATTTCTATCGTACATTTTCTTTTGCCTGTTCGTATCTACACTTGTTATTGATTCCACTAAATAGATACTTATTATGTTGGTAAAACATGTTTTTGCATGGTGTAGTGCATGGCAGGTTTGACATTCTTAGTTTCACCTCGGACTGCAGCCTTGTTGAAACCAGGAGCGTTACAGTTGATATCAAAGCTCTAGTTCCAATATCCTTAGCATCATCCTGTGTCGAGTTGTGGAGTTAGAATAGAGTTTCTTAAGTTTCATGTAATAGAGTTCGCTAGAAATTTCTAGAATGAGTGAGGACGTTATATACACGTATTCAAAAAAAATATGAATTTTTTTTATGATATTAAAAGTATTTGCGTGAATGATATATGATACGAGATCTATATATGTTTTGTTTGATGACTCATAAACCTTCTCTCATGTCCTCAGATAGCAGGACACGGTAGACCTAGTACCCGAATAAATGGTCAGGCAGAGCCACAACAGACGCCACCAGAGTCACAACAGGCTCCACTCGAGCAATAGCAAGCTCCCTAATACTTGATAGACCTGATGGCTCCTATAGCTGCTAGATGGCAGCGCTAGATGGCAGCTCTTGAGGAGCTTGTGACAAGCCACATCACCCCACCACCACCACCAGTAGTTCTACCACCGTTTGTACCAGCTTTTCTAGTTGCAGGGGGTTTTCAGGGGAATGCACCAGCACCTACACCACAGGTAGTTATAGATGGAGCAGCAGAGCAGGAGACTTGGCTCCATCTGGTGAAGAGATACCAAAAGATAAGAGCACCGGAGTTTCAGGGATTGTCAGATTCAATGGCAGCACATAAGTGGAAAGAGGATGTGAGTAACATTCTTGAGATATTGAATGTGATTTTAGTTCAGAAGCCAAGGCTGGCATCTTACAGTCTCAAAAGGGATGCGAGGAGATTGTAGCGGTTGTAGTTTACTCCAAATCAAAGGATGACACTAACCTGGGAGGACTTCACCTATTTCTTTGATGAGCAGTTTATCTCGTCCGTGGCATGGGCCGGGAAAGAGCTCGAGTTATCCAGATTGTCTCAGGGGGACTTGTCGGTAGCAGACTTGAGAGGAAGTTTATGAGCCTGCTTTATTTCACGAGCATGTGGTAGACCGGAGAGCACCAGGCTCAGATGTTTCTAGCAGGAATTAGCCCCAGCCTTGGTCGATACCTCGTTTCTATGAGGTTTTATTCAATTCGGGAGGTAGCGGATGCTGCCATCTCTCAGGAGAATGAGTCAGCCTTGTTCCAGAAGGACAAAGAGGGAAACAACAAGGATAAGGGCAAGAACAAGAGATCATTTCAAGGACCCCAGCAGCAACAACAAGGCCCTCATAGGAGAGGACCTCAGCATGATCAGAGAGCGCCCCAGCAGCGCAAGTTTTAGGGTGCATGTTATAACTGCCGTAAGATTAGGCGTAAAACATCAGAATGTCACAAAGCACCAGTAGGAGCCCAGCAAGGGAGAGGGAAGAATCAGCAGCAGATTAGAGCCCAGGGCCGAGGTCTGGGTCAGCAGGCGAGACTAGAGGCACCACCAATGGTACTGAAGATTGAGGAGCTGATTCGTGCAGTGCAGGAGGTCCCTCAGGGACAGGTAGTTCCATATGCTACACCTCTAGCAGCGGAGCAGGTTCAGGCTACTAGTAGGGTCTATGTAATAGTCCCTCGTGATCATGGAGCGAGCGGGTCCATAGTGGAGGGTACGTTTTCGGTTAACCTCTTTCAGCCCGTATTCTTTTCGATTCAGGAGCTTCACAATCTTTCAAATCTTGTGCTTTGATGAGTAGACTCCAGCTAGGAGCTTATGTTAGACCCTAGAGGGGGGGGGGTGATTAGGGTCTTATGCTAATCTAATCCGATTATATGCCAATTAAAATTAATTAACAAGTTATCCTAGCAAGTATGAAATACCATAAGATATATGAGCTAGGATAAGCAATATAAACAATGAGATATATCCTATATGATAAAATATATGCAAGGATATATAAACAACACAAGGGTAAATAATCTAAATAAGATAGTGGATGAAGTAAATGAGCAATGCACAATTGGCGATATAAGATGAATGCAAAAACAAAAACGCCAAAGACAAACTCAAACAAACAATATGATCACGGAGTTCGGACCTTTCGTCCTACGTCTCCGCTCCCCACTCCCCGGGAGAAATCTACAAACACAATCCGGTTTGGAAGCTGGAACTTCTACACATTCGGTTTCCAAGTTCACCGAAAATTCTCACACAACAAACACTATGCAAACACACTCTACACCCACTAAGTGTTGAACTAGACGTGTCTCCCTCAAGTGCTCGGTTACAACCTCTCACTAGGTTCGTCAACTGACGCCACTCCTCTTGGGACGATCCCCGACTCTCGCCACACACTTCTCTCTTGGTGTACAAGTGTATTAGCCACTCCTCTTGGGACGATCCCCGACTCTCGCCACACACTTCTCTCTTGGTGTACAAGTGTATTACAAGTGTATCTCTCAATTTGGCTCAATTACTATAATTGATTGTTCTCAACTATGGATGAGAACACAATGAAAGCACAACTCAAAGTTACAATCTCTCACCACACAACTATACTATGTATGTACATACTAAAAGCTCAATGTGGGTGTGTGTAACAATGAGTAAAATAAAATCTAACTCAAATAGCAAACTAGCAATAATAAGAATATGAAAATCAATAATGAAATTGCTAGAGAAAAGAGTTAGAAAACTTCTCTATGAACACAAAGAAGAGGATGAAGGGGATTGAGAATGAATCCCTAAATCTGCAGTGAAAACTTCCTCCTTTGTAAACAGAAACCCAAACTTAAACAAACAGTAAAACCCTAAACCCTTGTTTAAACACTTTGTTTAAAAACTTGTTGGATCATATTGAAAGAGAGCAGCAATAGGGTATTTATACCCACTCTAAATCTCAGTCAAAACCCCTAACAAAAGACAAAAACAGACCCAGCAAACAGCTCAGGAAATAGTCATTGGGAAACCAACGGTCATATAGGCGGTCGATCGGCAGAAATATCGGTCGACCGACGAAGAACAAAAACCCTATGAACTGTTCTGGACCATCGTCGGTTGACCGGTGCGGTCGACCGATGGAGCTCTCGGTCGACCGCATCGGTCGACCGATGAACTCTCTGCTACATGCTGTTGAAAGAACAAATGATCGGTCGACCGGTGCGGTCGACCGAAAACTGACACAGCAGAAAAACAGGTTTTAGAAGCTGATTTTGAGACTTTGGAAAATATGTTAAAAATAACAAATGAAGTCCAAAGATAATGAAACTTTGGGAAATGTATATAAACATGTAAATGAACATGTTACAAAAAGAATTTTCCAGATTGCATTTCCTATTTGTGAAAAATCATCATTTTGCAAAATAGTTCAAAACACGAAAATGGAAACATGTGAATTTTGACATTTTGGCTAAACCATGTTTTGAAACTTTGCACAATGATTATATAGACTTATTAAAGTATGTATATGATTATTGTTAAGTCCAAAAACTAGGAATATAATATTTTCACAAAATTGCATATTCTAGGCAATAAATACCAAAACACAATAGTAAATATGAAACATGTGATTTTATATTTATAAACATGACAACTCAAAACTATGTATGTATATATATAAAACTATATATATGCATAGAAACCAAAACTTGTGTATATATATATAACTATATATATATATATATATACCAACCTCCAACTACGTTGTTTGTCTACAAAACATAGGAATGCACAAACACTAGACAAACAACATTAGTAGTAAATTGTTTGTAAATCATCATCAAAACAAGAAGGCCAACAGCTTAGCCTCTAGATACTCCTTTGTCAGTTTCCACCCATTTTCGTGAGATGTCGCTCTTGGAGAGCATTTGTAGGAGTTGTATTATCAGCTTAGATGAGTCTGAGTTTTTTGTCGATCTGATGGTGTTGAGCATGTCAGAGTTTGATGTTATTTTAGGTATGGATTGACTGTCTTCCTACCATGTTAGTATTGACTGTTTTGCGAAAACAGTCAAGTTACGGGCATCTGATGGGTCTGAGTTAGTTGTGGCAACCTCTTAGGGGAACCAGTTTGCAGAGTCATTACTAGTATACATCGAGGAGGTGATGCTTCGGGAGCATAGTGTTGATATATGTGAGACTAGAGTCATCTCGGATTATCAGGATGTCTTTCAGGACATACCTAGGTTACCTCCTATGAGAGAGGTTGAGTTCTGTATTGAGTTGCAGCTGGGCACAGCCCCAATATCCCGAGCACCCTATTGCATGGCACCTACTGAGAAGAGAGAGCTACAGACCTAGTTGGATGAGTTGTTAGCTCAGGGTTTTATTCGTAGGAGTCATTCTTCATGGGGAACGTCGGTCCTCTTCGTGAAGAAAAAGGATGGTAGTATGCGATTGTGTATCGACTATCATTAGTTGAACAAGGTCACTATCCGGAATAGATATCCCCTTTACATCGGATTGATGACTTGTTCGATCAGCTACAGGGAGCACAATATTTCTCAAAAAGATTGATCTTCATTCTGGTTGTCATCAGTTGCAGGTCCGGGAGATGGATATTCCCAAGACCGCCTTTCTGACTTGATATGGGTCCTTCGAGTTTCTGGTTATGCTATTTTGGTTGACCAATGCACCCGTGGTATTCATGGATTTGATGAACCGGGTCTTTCATCTATTTTTGGACCAGTTTGTGATTGTGTTTATCGATGATATTCTTATCTACTTGAGATCAGAGATGGAGCACGAGCAGCATCTACGTTTGGCTTTGCAGACCTTGCATGAACATCAGCTATATGCTAACTTTAGCAAGTGCGAGTTATGGATTTCTAAGGTCAGGTTTCTTGGCCATATTGTTAGCAGAGAGGGCATAGTGGTAGACCCAGCTAAGGTTTCAGCAGTGCTTGATTGGGAACCACCAAAGACGATTACTAAGATTTTTAGCTTCTTAGGCTTGGTCGGATACTATAGGAAGTTCATTTAGGACATCTTGAAGATTACAATGCCACTCACACGCCTTACGAAGAAGGGTGTACACAGTTCACTTGGAGCATGGAATGCCAGGAGGCCTTTGATACCTTGATGGTTAAGTTGACTACGGTGCCGTTTCTTACCATTCCGAGCAGTGACAGGACATTTGTTGTGTACACGAATGCGTCGTTAGAAGGTTTGGGAGGTGTTCTGATGCAGACTCAGAGAGTAGTAGCATACATCTCATGACAGTTAAGGGTACATGAGCAGAACTACCCCACTCATGATTTGGAGTTAGCAGCAGTAGTATTCGCACTGAAGACATGGAGACACTACTTATATGGAGTTCAGTTCAAGCTTTTCACCTACCATCAGAGTTTAAAGTACTTTTTCTCATAGAAGGAACTTAATCAGAGGCAGCAGCGATGGATCGAGTTTATCAAGGACTAGAGTTCACGATTCGGGATCATCCGGGAAAGGCGAACACCGTGGCAGATGCTTTAAGTAGGAAGCGTTGACATCAGATTGCGGCTTTGAGGTGCTCGTTGTATAAAGATATTCTCACCCTTAGTCAGTTCGAGTTTAGGCTAGAGATTGGCGAGACTAGCACATACTTGGGAGCTATTTCAGTACAGCAATCTTGGAGGGACAGAGTAGTCAGAGCATAGTTAGAGGACTCTTGGATTCAAATCCGGAAGGATGAGATTGCCAAAGATCCCAAAGATGATAAGACCAATAGAGAAGATGGAGGACTTCGGATGAAGGGTCGATTAGTTATGCCGGCTAGTGTGGAGCTGAAGAAGGAGTTATTTGATGAAGCACATCGTGCTCAGTATACAGTGCATCCAAAAACCACCAAGATGTATAAGGAATTGAGGAGACACTTCTGGTGGAGTGGCATGCGTAGAGACATTTCAGATTATGTGGCTAAGTGTTTCACCTGTAAGCAAGTGAAGGCAGAGCACCAGAGACCAGTAGGGATACTTCAGCCTTTATCCATTCTAGAGTGGAAGTGGGTGGACATTTCTATGGATTTTATTGTAGGGTTGCCGAAGTCAAAGAAGGGGAACAATTCAGTTTGGGTAATAGTGGATCAGTTGATGAAGTCGGCACATTTTATTCTAGTGAGGACCACTTATACCGCCAAGACATATGCGAGGATATTTATTCAGGAGATAGTTTGACTTCATGGAGTTCTAGATACAATTGTATCAGATCGAGGATCAGTGTTTACCTCGCACTTTTGGAGGAGTTTTAAGGAATCATTCGGCAGCAAGTTATTACACAGCAGTGTATTTCACCCTTAGACAGATGGCTAGACTGAGAGGGTGAGCCAGGTGTTGGAGGACATGCTGAGGTCTTGTGTTATTTATTTCCAAGGCAGTTAGGAGGATCATATTCCGTTGATAGAGTTCGTGCATAATAATAGTTATCAAGCGATGATTGGTATGGCTTCATATGAAGCATTGTACGGAAGGCCTTGTAGATCCCCTATATGTTGGGTAGAGCCAGAGGATAGCTTGTTGCTTTGACCAGAGCTGGTGAGGCAAACTACCAAAAAGGTAGCAGTGATTAAGGAACGCATTTTAGCCGCTCAGAGTTGACAGAAGAGCTATATAGATTATAGACGGTGACCGTTAGAGTTTCAGGAGGGAGATTTTGTCATGCTGAAGGTATCGCCGATGAAGGGTGTGCAGCGATTTGGTAGACGGGGAAAGCTTGCCCCGAGATATGTTGGCCCTTTCCGGATTGTTGAGCGAATTAGGGCTGTTTCTTATAGAATAGATCTTCCAGCATCGATGTCTAGTATGCATGACGTATTTCACATCTCTATGCTCAGAAAGCACCTTCGTGATGAGGAGAGACAAGGAGTATTAGATGCTTTGGAGATCAAACTTCGGGATGATTTGACTACGATTGAGATCCTAATTTGTATACTTTCTAGAGAGGACAAGAAGCTTAGAAATAAAATGATTCCTTTGGTGAAAGTCCAATGGAACCGGAGAGAATCTAAGGAGATTTCTTAGGAGCACGAGGAGGATATGTGTCGCGACTACCCACACCTGTTTGAGCAGGTAGAATTGTTTGAATTTTGTTTTCTTAAGATTTATGATGGTTATGGAATAGTTGTATTTATCTTTAACGCTAGAATGGGGGTATTGACACTTAATACGTAATCATTTGGGATACGTGGTATATATATAGGGGGTTCCTTGTTTGGATTTTTCGCCCGACGTACTATTTCCATTTAGTTAGGGATTAAGGCGCAAGTATTTACATTCTAGACTGTTAACCTTAAATACCGCTATGTTCATTAGTTAGGGATTAAGGCGCAAGTATTTACATTCTAGACTGTTAACCTTAAATACCGCTATGTTCATATCTGAAAAGTTATGCTATGACTGTTAACCTTAAATACCGCTATGTTCATATCTGAAAAGTTATGCTATGAGATGTTATGATTCTCTCATATTATTAATGTTTGTGAGACGATTTCTGAATTTTGAGGACGAAATTTTCTTAAGGAGGGAAGAATATAAAACCCCATATAATTAAATAAATGAGTTTTTATTGTGAAATATATGTTTAGATCATAGAGGAATATGATAACAAGTGTTTTGGGATCAAATAAGTATGATTATGTGAGAGAAATCAAGTGGAAAAGACCAGCACACGAAAGGTTCATGCACAGCAGATTTCTGTTATGCTGTAGACCAAGCGTGGCGCGGCGGTCGACCGCATAGCGGCCAGACTGTTTTTCCCAGTCCGGGTTGTTTTGAGTTTTGGGTCGGGTTTGAGAGCTCATATATATATTAAATAATTCGGGAGAGCCTCCTCTTCATCACAGAAAACCCTAGCAGCCTCCCCCTACCCCGGGAGAGCCTCCTCTTCATCACAGAAAACCCTAGCAGCCTCCCCCTACCCTCTTGCAAACCCTAGCTTGTTCTTTGGGCGATTCTTGGAGGATTTCGAGGAGTTCGAGCGAGATCCAGCGGTGTTCAGCGAAGGAGAACCTCGTCACGACCTTAACCACAGTTGTTCATCACCCCTCAGGCGAGTTTCATCTCGCCCAACCCTGCATCCAGTTTTAAATGCTTTTAAATGATGTTTTTCACGGGTTTTTGTTGAGCCTAACATGCTAGTTTGAGTATAAAAGTTGATCTTTTATATTGTAAGTTACAAAAAAATGTTTTTAGATTAATAAAGATCACCCATGTTTTCCTAAATGCAGATTTTGAACATGTGTTTAGTATAACAAGAATTTCGAAAGAAAAATAGTTGTTTTCGAAGGTTTCATCATATATATGCATGTTTTAAATTGTTTCTTTTTGTCTATAGTAATTAGACTGTTTATACCAAGTTCCAGATATGTTAAATCACATGCATAGGGTTGCTAGTACATATAAACATCACACGAAGATCGAGATCAATATCAGTTAGAATAAAAACCAAAAAATAGGATTTTTCTGCTTCGCGGTCGACCGCGGGTGGCGCGGAGGTCGACCGCGTATCGTGCATAGATCGGTTTTTAGTTTCTATCTTGATCGCGGTCAACCGGGTTGGGCACGGTGGTCGACCATCGATCGCGGTCGACTGTGCATGGTGCAGTGGTAGACCGCTGGGGAGCACAGAAACACAGTGAGTTTCTGTTCTTGGTGTGGTCGACCGTGCTGGGCGCGACGGCCGACCGCGAGTCAGTTTTCTATCCTGTTTTTTTTTGTGCATACGTCATGTGGCTGGCTTGATTTCTGGATTATTTGGGATTGTTAAGCACAAAGAATTGTGTTCACTAGTTGGCTACAGACAGGAGGCTTTGTTTTTTTTCACCGAGACATGAGAGTGAATAGTACATAGATGTTTTTAAATTGAAATCCATTGTAGTCCATGTGTTAGATGTCTATCTATTGCGGCCCATGTGTTGGACCTCGATCATAAAGTCCATGTGTGATACATTTTCTTATTTCAGTCCACGTGTTGGACATGTAGCTTTGCGACCCATGTGTTGGACCTACATCATTTATAGTCCATGTGTTGGACCTACTGTTCGTGGGGAAAACTGTTTTCTTCATTGAAATAATTGTCATCTTGGATTACAAAGATCCGGTCTTTTATAGATCCGGTTACAACTAAATCAAAGAAAAAAAGTAAAAATTACAACTTTCCTTCTGTGAACAAATCACGAGCTCCTGTTTTGTGGTCGCTCGCTTTGGTTGGTTCTTTGCCAACGCCGGGGTTAATCCGTGGACCACCGCGCGATCTAGATCCGGTCGGATCTACACGATTATACGGGTATTATTCCATGAAGGGAATAATAGCCGGGAGGGATTAGTCCACCAAGGGAATAATCGCTCGGATCTCGAGATCTAAGACCAAGCTTAGATCTGGAGTGTGATCTCGTGTAGATCTCAGATCTGTTCTTTCTTCCTCTCGAAATCCTGCCTTTTCTGACGTGGATGCTCGCCGAGGATCAGATCCGAATGTGCAAGTCTTCAAGTCTTCAAAGCTCCGAGTTCACTCTTCAATCCGGCAGAGTTTCGGCTCTTGAAAGTTCGACCTTTGAAAATGAACACCTCTAGGCCTATTTATAAGCTCTCAAGACTGTGCCCGCGCACAGAGAAATGTCGGCCACCCATAGGTGGCCGGCACTGTGCCGAGCCACCCATGGGTGGCTCGGCTTAAGCCGAGCCCCCTTAGGTGTGGGTTTTCCGAGTTTTTGAGTTGCGTTCGTTTTCCGGTTCTGTCCGTGATTTGGTTGATTGAGACTTTGATTTGTTGATCTGATTTGGCAGTAAGTCTGATTCCTGATTTGGCAGTAAATCCACTTCTGAGTTCGAGTCCGAAACTGATCTTGATTCGATCGTGATTCGTCCGAGTCTATTCCCGGTTGGATGACTCGTTGATTCTTTAACACTTGGCTTGATTCCGAACGCGTATGGGTGCATTCCGTCGCTTGCGTGCGATTCGTCGATCTCGTCGCCTCGTTGGTTCGTCGGTTTGTGCCGAGCTATGCTAGGGGACCTATAAGCAATTTTATATGCCTACAGATACCCCCTCCAAAGTATTTCAGTCTCGTTCTTTTATAGAAGAGTCTGGAATACTTTGGATATGATTGCCCCCACCTTTAGTCGGTGTAATGGGATCTTGGAATGATTCCCGTTCTTGACTCCTTCAATTCTCCAGGCTTTTCGGTGCTTTGTCGAAAGTCTGTAAGAGTTCCGGTGCTGCATTTATTGTCTGACCGTTGTCGG